CATATTTTTGTGAGATCCATAAGCACTATTCACTGATTCATAATTCAAAAAGTATTTTGCCAGAATATGTTAGTTTGCTTGGCGATGCCACATGAAGACCGAGGATAATAATAATAATAATAATGGCGAGGGTGGAGGCAGATGTGCTGCCCTTCGTATATTGTAGCGACGAATAAATGGGTTCGCCATGTGCTTCTCGCTGAGATGTTACGTGGCCTAAGCTGCCACATATACGTCCACGTGGAGCCTTACAGGATCGGGGGTGCAACAATAAAAAACAAATATCGAAAATCTTCATCGTATATAATCTAAAAATACTTCAATGATTAAGCCTGTTAGATAATGAATCAAAATGCAGTAAAATTCTGTTTGGAAATTTACATGTATTTTGTAAAGCCACATCTTTTGTTACTCTTTCCTCAGCATACTTGTGACATTATGGGTTGACAGTTGTCCTAGATTTCTATCTTTCGTTGTAAAAGTTGGAAGGACATGGCGTTGATTAATGAAGTTCACGTTTCCTTTAAAAAAAAGTGAGACATTTGTGTTTGGTAAGATGGATATTATAATATGGAAGATGCTACAAGTACATGGACTGTTTTTACAGGTCCTGCCAGACAACACACATGGGGGTGGGGTCACAATTTTTTTTATGTAGAGGTGGGGACCTTACTCTGTAGTGAGTGGCCAGTAAGGCTCCTGTGAAAATGAAGCCTGTACTTGGGGCATAATCCTTATAATATTGAAGTACTTTAAATAAGAAAATGAAAGTTGAAAATTTGTGAATTGTATTGTCCAATCATGATTAGTGCTGCATGTTAAACATTAAACATACCTTAAAGTTTTGGACAATTCTAATAGAACACAGTCACCATTTGATTGGTTGCACTGTAAATTTTGAGAATGAAATGTGAATACCGACAAAGCATTTGGTACATAGCCATTTAATCAGGGAAAAAAAAAAGATAATAAGAAAAAAATGTCACCATCAAATTAGTCACACTACATGCCTAGAAAATCGACAACTCAAGACACTTTTAGACATGACACAAGTAGTTGGGAGAAACTTTAGTGAGACAATCTTATATGTATATGTGATAGGACGGTCCATTCAAATTATGATACCTAGATGTCGAGTGGAAGAGTTGATGTAAGAGGCTTACGTGTTTGGGTGTCATGATTTGAGTGAACGAGCTTACCATGTGTACATATTATGATGGTCCACTAAAGAAGTTTTGAAAATAAACATGTTCACTTATTTATTCATAATTATTAAACTTGAATCGGACAAGCTGGTCTGATTGGAAACTCGATGAACTGGATCCAATACGAGTGGTATATGTGGATCAATTTAGTATTGAACCGCGAATGATCTGCATGAATCGATCAGGTTTTATCAAATCGGGTCAATGATCGGACAGAGTCTGATAAATAATTAAATATGATTGCAGCCCATAATATATATAAAATCTATATTTCCATTTGTATTTTATTATCTTTTGTTATTTTCTTTATTTGTTAGGTCTGCCTTCATACGTGTATGGCTATAAATGGATTGATCTCCTAGTGGTGTGTTGCCTACCAGAATGTTGTTGATCGGTGATGATCATGTTTGACTTAACTAAAATGTTGTATATAATTTTACATTTTTTTCGACACTCCTTTCTTATCACTTTGCCTCGCATTTTCAATAAATTTAATGTGGAATCGAACACAATGACAAAAACCAAATTCATTGAGAATCAAGGCTAGGGTGTACACCCAAACTGATTACGATCATCACTAACACAACATTATTCAAACAAAATAGGTATCATCACTGTATCAAGTGTGTCACTTTTTTGCACGATTTTATTAGAATTATTGAAATAGAAAAGTACACGTCGTGCCAACTCAAAAGTGGCATGTGAGAATGCTTTATTCCACTAACATGGATGCAAGATTTTCATGATAATGCTGAAAATTGGTACTTGCAAATTGGGAAATTTAGCAAAGATGAGCTGCAGGAATTAGATTCACACGGAAGAACAAAAGGAAGTGGGTCGAATGTGGGACGGTGTGATCTGTGAAGATGCGTAGAATTAGATCCACTGATAATAATAGTGGAACTCATATGACCCCTATTTATTGAAGCCAACGCTGACACCTTTTATGTAGACCACTTAACCACCTTCTTAGATCTAGAAACTTCTTCGATTACGCGTTATGTCTCTGTTTGACCTCATTTTTAGAATACATTTTCAATCATACATTTCATGAAACCCACAATTTTTATCATCTTTTCATTCGCGTATTTCATTAACTTTTATTAAGCATCTGTTTGGTCTGGATTAAAATCTGATTTTAATCAAAGTTAAAGTCAAAGAATCAATATTAACAACATCTTTCATGGGTCCCAAAACTTTTCAACCAGATATTTCAAAAACTTCAATCAAAATCTACTAAAAATTTAATTTTAATTCTTACCAAACACCCTCTAATATCTAATAAAATTATAATTTTTAGCTAAACCAAACATGGGCGACATATAGAATCTAAATTGAAGTTTTATTTTTTAAAATTTTAAACGAAATAATTTAACTATCTTGTGCTTATGTTGTCATTTTAATTCCAAATTTCAATAGACTAGAATGTAGGTAAGTTGAAAGTGTGTTCTTTTCTAATGATGCAAATTCTTGGAACCATTATTTAAAATTAACAAAGATTCAATAAAAGTACGTGTTAATGATCAAACATAGAAGAAGTCGATATGAACTTAGTGTCGGCATGAATAATAATTATAAATTCGTTACATTTTATACGTGTCATTTGACTTGTATTCTAATATTGTGTGAAAGCCCAAAAACTTGGAATGGCATAAAATTTCAAACGAGACAATATTTCATGTCCTAACAAAATAACATTAAGACAACATCCCATCACTTTCACTAGACAAATGCAACTTCTTGACTGGATCCCATCTACACCTGTTTCAAACATGAACCCAAATCGAATTTACAGACGAATCTAGATTCACGGTTTTTATCTCAATTATAGTGATGTGTCAAATTTGATCGGAAAAAGTGGTGCATTATTAGGAGAATGTGTTAAAGAAAGAATGGTGACTAAAATTGACATGATATTAAGTCTCTGTACGATGAGGATTAAAATTAGATTTTTAGTAGATTTTGGTAAAAGTTGGTGAAATTCGTGGCTGAAAAATTACGGATCCCATAAATATACGTTATTAAAATTAATTATTAACTTTTACTTTGATTAAAATTTAAATTTTAATGTCTATTAAACAAGGACCAAATGTTTATAGTAAATTATTTGACAATGAATCATGGAATATCGATGAAAAATACATGTAATCTCGACTTCAAATTTATTAAGCCCTTGTTTGGTGGGATAAAATAAAAATATTTTTCATTAAATTTTGATAAGAATTGATGAAATAAATGATTAAATTAATTATTAAGTGTAACAGAAATAAAAATCTTGATTTTAATCCCCAACGAGGACTAAAAACGAAACTTATTATTTGTCTTAGCATGTGGTTGTTTTTATCCCTTAATAAACTATATAACCCCATGTTTAGTGTAGATTAAAATCAATTTTTTAGTAGATTTTGATAAAAGTTAATGAAATGCGTGGTTGAAAAATTGTGAGTCCCGCAAAATATATGATTAAAATTAATTGTAAAATAAATATAAAAATTAAAATAAAATTTCAATCTCTACAAAGATGGGCAAAATATCCTTGGGCAAAATATCCATAACTCATTCACACTGAAGTTTGAAAACAAGATAACCTTCAAACAATGGTCAAACATGGCTAAATGCAAGAAATAGCATATAAATCTCTAAAGAAGCTAAAACTGAAAATGACTTGTTTGGCAAGTAATTCGAAAAGTCAAAAGTTGCTTAAGATATTGAAAATCTATTTTTTAATTTATTTTGAATAATTTTTTTTTAAAGTGTTTTTACTGATTAAAAGAACTTTATGATGAAGCTGATATAAGATAACTTCCTCATAAATCTCTTTTATAAGAAATAGAAATAAAAATAAAAGCAATAATCCTTCGAAATAAGGATGTCCGTGGGTCGGTTCAGTTCGGTTCTGAAGAGATCCGAACCGACCCAAAACTTTCGGGTATTTAATAAATGGATTCGTCGGGTCCAAATATAATTATGGAACCGTTCGGGTTCGGTTCGGGTCGGTTCGATTCCGTTTGATTCCGTACCATAATTAAATTTTTTAATATTTTCAACAACACTACATAAATACAATTAATGACATTTCATTCGTAACTTTTACAAATTAATGTAGCTCAATTCAAAAACATATACAAAACTAGCCGTCCAATAAGATTAATTCAATGCATACAAATACCAAAAAGTAGATATTAATATTACAGCAAAACTATATAAAGTATATTCATTTGTTTCAAATTAAAATGGACTAATGGATTTTAAAATGATTTGGGTTTTAAAATTAAAATTATGAAATAATCTAATTTATTCAATTAATTTACTAATTTGTATAGAAAAAAATAAAATAATTTAATTAATTCAATATAAAAAATAAAAAAATTATTTAGTTTCGGTTCTTATTCGGTTCTTGGTTTAGACCCGAGACCCGACTCAAAATCATCGGTTCTCGATTCGGGTACCCATTCGAGTATTTAATTTATGAAGAACCGCTCGATTCGATTTGGGTTCGGTTCGAGACTTTTGGACACTCCTACTTCCAAATGGTCCTAAATGTGAAAATTGATATATAGATGAACATAAAAATGTCAAAACGACCGGGAAATGAGTAGTATAGTTGTTCCATCAAAGCACAGTGTTGCGCGCATATGCTAAGCGCTTAACTTCTCCTTGTTCACACTTCCAAATCCCAGTATCCACTGTGCCATTAGCTTACCACAATCCCTTTAAAAGCCAAACAAATTCCATCATTCGATTATTCCATCAACTCTTCTCAGATAAAGAGGGAAGAATTATTCTCATTCATTCATGGCTAATTTTTCTTGCTTTCTTCTCGTTTTCCTCGTCCTTTATTTCGCGAATTCTTATTCGAACGCGCAGAGTGTGCCGGCTATGTACGTGTTTGGCGACTCCCTAGTTGACGTTGGTAACAACAAACACTTGTCGCTCTCCCTCCTTCGAGCAGATTTCCCTCACAACGGGGTCGACTACCCTGGTGGAAAAGCCACTGGAAGGTTTTCCAATGGCAAGAATCCTGCAGATTTCTTAGGTAAATCTCTTGTTCAATTGTTCTACTCCTTAACATATGGTATGCTAGTTTACTGCATGCATTAAAGGTGTGTTAAGCAGTACTCGATAGATTTAAACAAGACGTTGAATAAGATTTTAACTCGTTTTTCTTCGTTTGATAGCTGAGAAGTTGGGTTTAACGACTGCACCACCATATCTTTCACAGCCCGACGACGTGTTTGTGAAAGGTGTAAGCTTTGCCTCGGGAGGAGCCGGAATCTTCAACGCCACAAATGAGGACGCTATTGTGAGTGATCATGACACTGTCCCAACTTAGCTATCCCTGCGAATATAAATTCTAACTCGTTTTATTTATTCATCAGAAACAAACAATTCCATTGCCAGTCCAACTCGGGTATTTCTCTCGAGTACATCAAAGACTAGTGAAACAACTAGGAACAGCCAGCGCCGAGGAGCACTTATCCAAATCACTGTTTCCAGTCGTAATCGGGAGCAACGATCTCATTAACTTTTCCAAATCCGGAAATACCCCTCAACAATTTGTTAATCTCATGGTTTCGTCTCTCAAAGAAGTGCTCAAGGTAAAGTAAACTTGCCCATTATAGCTCGTTATTCGTAATATTCAGTTAATTTCGAGTTCAATTTTCACGATAATTTTATGGATTCAGGGATTGCATGGTCTAGGGGCACGTAAATTTTTGATTGTTGGCACTGCACCAATTGGCTGCGCCCCAAAGCAAAGATTTCAAAGTACAACTAATGAATGCAATGCAGAAGTAAACTCCTTGTCGAAAAATTACAACCAAGGACTCCAATCAATGTTGCAAGACTTGAAATCAGAGCTTAAGAACATACACTACACTTATCTCGATACATACAGTATCTTTACAAACTTTATCGACAATCCCACAACTTATGGTACGTCCGATATCCTTAGAATTAATAAATCAACGTGAACTAAAAGGTTAAAATTTTCGGACTGCGATTATCTAATTTAAGAATCGGGGTTGTTATCGACAGGTTTCAATGAGACTAAGGCTGCTTGTTGTGGACTAGGGAAATTGAGAGCCAGGGTTCCTTGCACCCCAGTTTCAGAATATTGTTCGAACAGAAGTAATCATGTTTTTTGGGACGTATACCATCCTACACAGACAACAGCTCGTACTTTTATTGACATTCTTTTTAGTAATTCACAAGAATATGTAACCCCCATTACTATCCAACAATTGACTGCTATATGAAATGCACACACTAATATGTACACTACACACCCAGTATGGATTCATCTGTTTGTTATAATTCAATCTATATTTTTAGTATTTGTATGCTTGTTTTTGTTCTATATGGTAGACTTTGTAATTTTAAAGAATTAATAAGAAGTTAAAATCGATCATGTCCATGTTGATAAATTTCATAGTAATCATGCTAAGAATAAGAATCACATATTCTAAATTGGTAGATGAAATTCATACCCGCGGAAGACATTATTATGTATGAATATTACCAGCAAGATCTTCGTCTCATTGCTCATCAAAATAATCAGTCGTCAATGGGGCAAGCCGAAACCATATGGAGAGGAGAGGGGACCTAGCCATTATATAGGAAATCATAAAATCGGCTCATTACCGATTTTAACCCTAATTAGGGTTCACATAATTCCGGCCCACATATTTAAAATTACCACATTATAATAATATAACCCGTAAGGTGTATAACGGCCCAAATGATAACTAACATATTGAGTCTAATCACAGTATTATTGCAAATCATACATCTACCCCGTAAAAATTGCAATAAAATTAGAATAATTCCAACCGTCCATTGTAATATATATTCAGTTTAATTTTGACGTCAAAAGCGATTGATTGCTACCAAACAAGAAGAAGAAAATGTCCCAATAATTTGAAATGGGAGTGGTACAAAGTTCATCAATACTAGTGGGAAAGTGTGCCCGACAATTTTCTAAACGATTAAAATAAACGATCAAAAAAGGAGTGATCTTTGGATTGGATCAGAATAATTTTTTACTGAACATTATAATAATAGAATAGATGTCCTCGAAAATGAATAATGGAATTGTTGATCTTCATCGTCTACCCTCGAATACAATTTATCAAAACGAATTTTACGGAAAAAAAAAAAAAATACATATTTGGAAAATAGAAATAAATTTAAGGATTCATTTGATAGGTAAATGTGAAAAGGAATTTCAATTACATTTTAGTTGGAAAATAAAAATTCACCAAACTCATAGGAATTCGTTTTCCATGAAAATAAAGAAAATGTAATTTAAAGTGATTGTACTTTGAAATTCGATTTTTATTTTCTCATTGTAATCAAACGGTCAAAATAAAATTTGTTTATTTCGAATATGACATTTTTCATTAAATTAAAATCGTTAAGTTGTAATATCATGGAAACAAGATAGTAACGAAATTGGAACGCCAACCTACTATATTATTTTATTTCTTTACCACATTAGGTGCATGTTCCTAGATAGATATTCCCAGAAAAAGGGTGGTGATGCGTTGACCTTAGCTCGCACAGTACTTACAAACAGTAGCAAGCAGTTCTTAAAATGGCTAATTTGATTTCTCTTCCTCTAATCTGTGTGGTTTCGTGTCTAAATGTTGGTTTGGTTGCTTAACGTACGCACCCCCAAAGTAGGAAACAATGGAAACATAGTTTGTATTCAATATTGGGCCTAACTCAACTTATCAAAACCAGTTTATTAGGGGAGGATTGTTCTCACCTTATTAAGAGCTTGTTTGTGAGGGATTAAAATTGGATTAATATTGAAAAATTAGTCGTTATTGTTGACTTTTATTAGACGGGTGAGACCCAATAACGGTTATATTTTCAATTTTAATTGGATTAAAATCTATTCCAAACAAGTTTTAAGTGGATCATGTAAATATCATCAGCTAATGTGGGACTCTAATACGCCTCCTCACGCACATTGTTGACCATGTCAAACAACATTGAAAAACTGGGCCTTCTATGATACCAGATTGGAAATGATATTTGGTCTAATTCAACCTAACAAAATCGGTTTGTTATGGGAAGATTGCCCTCACCTTATTAAGTGGATCGTGTAAATATCATCAACCAATGTGGGACTCTAATATCCAAAGCTAGGACTGCCTTCCATTCCGCTGCGGCTAAAGTGGAGAAAGTCTTCACGGACGTTAAAAAATCTGATTTTATATCCCATAGAGATGCAGTAACTATAATTACATTTACTATTTTTAGGATTCATTACAAAAATTGTTATTGTAGAATTTAGTGGGATAAAATGTGAAAATGATGAACAATGAATGTTATTACATGAGTTCTGATTTACAAGGTGAAATAGCAATGATATATATACACCAAGAAACTAACGGTTACCTATGTTTGACCCTACTGTACAAAGTACAAAGATGGTAAAGGTAGAGTGCGCTTTTCTTTGAATATAGCTGCTCACTTTTTCTCATAATAGGCCTATGATGAAAAGACCCTTCTGAGGCTACTGATGAACTGAGGCTATCTCTTGACCTGATGCCTTCAATGCCAATGATGAACTAAATGTCTGAGGCAATTAGTTCATTCTTAACTACCCTAGTTTCTCAACATATTCACTATTTCTTGAAACTCGTATCTCTCGTCCAGATGAACCGTATAGGAAAGAGAAACCATGAAGTCGAACAGAAG